GCAATCAGTGCCACCGAGTTGATGTTTGCCCTAAGCCCTAGCACATCGGTCCCACCGAGTTGTTCCAGTCGGTCCCACCGAGATTCCTAACGTTCAAATTTTGAACTAAATCGGTCTCACCGAGTTCTTCTATTCGGTCAGACCGAGTTGGGTCAAATATGTGTAACGGTTGGATTTTGTGTGGTTGCTATATATACCCCTCCACCCCCTTCTCCATATGTGAGAGAGCCATTAGAACGTGCTTACACTTCCAGCATACATTTTCTGAGAGAGAACCACATACTCATGTGTTGAGATCAAGATATTCCAATCCTACCACAAGATTCTTGATTTCTAGCCTTCCCCAAGTTGATTTCCACTCAAATCATCTTGCACCATATCCAAACCCGTGAGAGAGAGTTGAGTGTTGAGGAGACTATCATTTGAAGCACAAGAGCAAGGAGTTCATCATCAACACAGCATCTATTACCTTTTGGAGAGTGGTGTCTCCTAGTTTGGTTAGGTGTCGCTTGAGAGCCTTCGACAAGATTGTGGAGTTGAGCCAAGAAGTTTGTAAGGGCAAGAAGATCGCCTACTTAGTGAAGATCTACCCGAGTGAGGCAAGTCCTTCGTGGGCGATGGCCATGGTGGGATAGACAAGATTGCTTCTTCATGGACCCTTCGTGGGTGGAGCCCTCCGTGGACTCACGCAATCGTTACCCTTCGTGGGTTGAAGTCTCCATCAACGTGGATGTACGATAGCACCACCTATCAGAACCACGCCAAAAATCTTCGTGTCATCATTGCGTTTGCACTCTCCAAACCCTTCCCTTTACCTTCATATGCAATGTTTTACTTTCCACTGCAACACTTAGAATTGCATGTGTAGGTTGATTGCTTGACTTGTGCTAATTGATAATAGCTGCCCACATCTAAAATTAGGAAAATGTTAGATTTTTATTTGGTCAAGTAGTCTAATCCCCCCCCCCCTCTAGACCTACTTTCGATCCTACATGGTGAGACCAACCAAGAAAGCGTTTATGCCAGGGCAACACGTCCTAGAGGGGGTTGTTGTCTTGCATGAAATGATTCACGCGTTACACTCAAAGAAACTTGATGGAGTTGTCTTCAAAGTGGATTTTGAAAAAGCCTATGACAAAGTTAGATGGCCATTCTTGCAACAATGTATGCGCATGAAAGGCTTCCTGAGAAAATGGTGCCAATGGATTGACACATTTGTGAAAGGAGGAAGCGTAGGTGTCAACATAAATAATGACATTGGTCACTATTTCCAAACACGAAAGGGTTTGCAACAGGGAGACCCTATGTCGCCTATTCTTCTCAACATTGTGGCAGATCTTCTACGGATTCTCATTAGCCGGGCCAAGGAAGCGGGTCATGTTGCGAGCTTAATTCCTCATCTTGTGGACAGTGGGGTATCGGTACTTCAGTATGACAATGACACCATATTCTTCATGGAACAAGACATTGAAAAGGCAAAAAATATGAAACTTATTCTTTATTTATTTGAGCAATTATCTGGTCTCAAAATTAAGTTCCACAAAAGCGAACTCTTCTGCTTTGGAAAAGCCAAAGAAGAAGAGGATCAGTACAAACAACTGTTTGGTTGTGAGTCAGCCTCTTTCCCCTTTAGATACCTTGGTATCCTAGCATTTCCGTAAACTTCTTAATAAGGAATGGAAAGGTATTGAGGATCGCTTTGAGAAAAGGTTGAGTTGCTAGATTGGTAAGCTTATGTCTTATGGGGCAAGGCTCACTCTAATCAATGTTGTTCTGACAAGCTTGTCTATGTTCATGTTACCTTTCTTTAAAATACCTAAAGGGGTAAGAAAAAGATTGGATTACTACATATCCATGTTTTTCTGCCAGTCTGATGAACATAAGCGTAAATACCACCTGACAAGGTGGGATGTGATCTGTCGCCCTAAAGACCAAGGAGGTCTAGGGGTGGAAGACCTTGAGATTAAAAATAAGTGTCTGTTGAGTAAATGGCTTTTCAAGATACTTACCGGGGATGGGTTTGGCAAGAATTACTTAGGATTGAGTACCTTCATTCAAAAACCCTCTGTAAGGTTCAGGCAAAACCAACAAACTCGCATTTCTGGAAAGGACTCATGGGAGTTAAAAATGATTTTTTCGCGAAGGGATGTTCACTGCAGGAAATGACCTACCTACTAGGTTCTAGGAAGATACATGGCTAGGGGACAAGCCACTAGCCATGCAATACCCTCGTCTCTATCATACTGCACAGCAGAAAGATGTCTCGGTTGCCTCTGTGATGGGCCACATATCGTTGAATGTTGCCTGAAGACCACTGATTGGGGACAGATGGACAGACTTGTTAAACCTTGTTGAAAGGTTGATGATGGTCAACCTTTCACACGAATAAGACACATTCCGTTGGAAGTTGGACTGCTTCTGGTGCCTTAACAGTCAAATCCATGTATATAGACCTCATCAATGATGGGCAGCCTTTTCACATCAAATATATATGGAAAATGAAAGTCCCATTGAAAATAAAAATCTTCATGTGGTACTTGGATCGCAATGTCATCATGACAAAAGATAATCTCAAAAAAGATTGGCAGGGATGCACTACATGTTGCTTTTGTGGTGATGAGGAGTCGATTCAGCATCTATCCTTCAATGCCCACTTGTCAAGCTACTATGGCGAACAGTCCATATAGCTTTCAATCTACCTCCACCCACGAGTAGTACGAATATGTTTGGAAACTGGTTAGTGAGGGTGCACCCCAAGTTGAAGTCTCACATCTGTGTGGGAATTTGTGTTTTACTTTGGGCCATTTGGAACACTAGTAATGATTGTATTTTTAATAGAATGAAAGTTTCGAACTTTGTGCAGGTTATCTTTAAGGCTGCCAGTTGGATCCATATATGGTCATTACTACACAAGGAGGATCGGGCACCCACGGTTTTTTGGGTGCAACCAATGGGAAATGGTCTATCGAGATTTATTCAGCCGATTTGGTTGGTGGACTACTAGTAGGTTTGTGATACATGAGGCTCATTTCCCTATGATTAAAAATTTACCCTAAGGGTAGTCATGTGTGACAATTTATTGGTTGAACTTTGTTATGGTCGGATGATGAACTTTGATATGATAAATAAAAGGATATGTGCATCACTTGATGTAGAGGCCAAGCGATGTCCCCTTTTTACGAAACAAAAATACGTAAACAAGACTAGCCAGAAAAGCAGACAAACAAGACCAGCCAGAAAAGTACCTAGCAAACACCCACATGGTAGGCAAGGTCGGCCATGCAACACTCACACCCCGTGTCGTGTGCACAAGCTCACGCGGCGCATGCGTACGAGGCAACCTAGCGGCCAAATTTAGTGTTTTGACCCTTTTTAGAAAGTTAAGCCGGATATGACCTTGTTTTAAAAAAAACGGGATCTAACCCTTTTCCTATCGTCGGGGTCGATGGCGGTAGGGTATAACTGCCTACCGCCGAGGCCCCTTGCGGTAGGATTGACGGCAAAGGCGGACAACCGTTGGTTGTTGCTGATGTGGTTACAGTGTACCTACCACGAGAGAAAGTTGC